CAACAAGCAGAATGGATTGGTACACTCCAAGAGAAGCTGAAGGTCAGTGATATGCAGGATCAAACAATTACGACGGAAACTGTAGCAAAACAAGAAAACAAACTGAAGGATTCGGCAGCATCGAGGGTGGAAAGGTGCAGTTCCATGGACTGTGTTTAAAGAATTTGACCAGTCGCATCAGATGCTTGCACGACAGTTCAATAAAAATTTAGAACGGCCTCAACCGATGAACGGATGACGACTGGAAGAACAGCAGTGGTCATGAACAATAAAGCCATCGGTGTGTAGTTCTGACTAATTATCGGCCAATTAAGTGCTTATCGACAACGTTCAATTTACTGATCGGAAGAGTGGCCGATACAATTTAACGATATATAATCGCAGAATCTCTCCTGCCCAGGAAACAGTGAAGAAATTGCTGGAACTCTCATGAAACAAGGGATCAATTACTCTTGATAAAGTAATTCTGAAGAACTGTAGGAGGAGGAATGCAAACCTGCACGTCTGCACGTTGCCTTGATTGATTATACGAATGCTTATGACTTTCACACAGGGGTGGATCAAGGAAATCTTTCGGTCAGCTCGGATATTAGAACATTTCTGGCAGCAGTGATAAACAAATGTGGTATAACGCTGGCCACTAATGTAACTCAAGATCAAAGGCGAAGATCAGGCAAGGCATATTCCAAGGAAATTTCCTATTGCCAGTACTGCTGTCATTTTCATGATGGTCCTGGACGAAACAACCTGTGGGTTCGAAGTCGCGCAAAGATCAAGAAGATTATGTCGAAGCTAGATAAAGACATGAGTTGCTGATACATACAGCCAGAATATTCAGGCAGGACATGGCGATGGACTTTGGAATCGTAAATTACGCTACATTTACAATTAAAGGAGGAAGAGTCGCGTAATCGGGAGGCATAAAGGTCAAAGATGGAAAACTGACCAAGAGCCTCAGTTAAAAGAGGACTATAAGTACACGGATGTCTTGCAAGCTGATGAAATTTGTCATGCAGCGGTTGTGAAGAAGACCAGTGCAGAATATATTACAGATTTCGATAATTCTGAAATTGAAATTGAACGATGTAAACACGACCACTGCTGTTAATACATGGCCATTCTAGTCATTTTGAGTGCACAAGCGGAGGAGACTGTCCTGGATTGCAAAACAAACAAGATTATGACATCAGATTACGCTCTGCATCCAATTAGTGACATAGATCGACTTTACCCTTCCCTGAAGAAAGGGAAAGCGAGGATTGCTGCATGTGAAGCAAACTGAGGAGAAAGACGCAAGGTCGCAGGACGACTACATCAGAACCAGGAAGGAGAAGATGTTAGACAAGGTCTGGACAGGAGGTGTTACGAAGAAGAATGAAACAAAGGATCAATATTGGGAAGATATACTAAAAACGCGCATCACTGAATACCAAAGTGTAGCTCTGCATGCCCAGAATATGGAAAAGATTGCAGGAGAAGTCTTAAATCCCGTCCAGTGAATAACTTGAGAAGATTGCAAGGCAAAAATATTGAAGAAGTAAACTGAATGATCAATTTTTGTCAGACAAGAAAAGCTTTACGAATGATACCAAATACAGGCTATGCAAAGTGGCAGAAGAAATAATGTAGCATTTCATCTCTGGATGCAATGAAATTGCTCAAATGGACTACAGACAACCATATGACAAGGTGGATGTCACTGATTCATTGGAACTTGTGCGAGAAGCACGAAATGCCGTTTGCAAAATACTGGTTGAAGCGAAAAGTCTAAGAAGGTCGTGGAAACTTCAGAAGCCAAGTTCCTATGAGATTTTAAGATTTAGACGGAGAAGTTGGAGCACAGTATATCTGATATTACGATAGTTGAGCAAGGGCAAGTGAAGCTGATTGACGTGGCAATAACAGTAAACGATCTAATGAAAGATAAGTCGAAAAAATTACTATATAAAAAGATCTGCGGTTTGAAGTGCAACGCCTGTAGTGGTGAATAGGGTGTTAGACTGAACACCAGTAGGGTTGAGAAGGAGTTTAGAGGGCATTGGTATTGATCGAATTGCAGTTAGATAGCTGCAGCGAGCTCCATCCTTGGAATCTACCGCATTCTGCAGGTAATATCTCATAGACCCTTAACTTTTTGAATAGAATCCGAGGCAGTGACTAACCAAAATTCCAACCCGAATATATAGTGAACTATTCAAAAAAACATCATGAAAATGAAACCTTACATGATGAGGAAGTTAACAAATGAACACCGGTATGTGAGTTGGAGTTCCGCTGTAATCTCTCAAGTCCGGGGCCATAACGATGCTTGTTATGGAAACAAACAAGAGAGTTTGTTGGGTGAAGCCTACCGATTGCGGAACAGTTTAAATTTGCCATTACCAAATTCCATAATGTTAATCATGTGCAAGAGTCACTTGCTAAGCTCCCAGAGTAAGACATCTGTGTCCAAAAATATCGGCAATTGAAAACATTTTTAATTTTGAAATAAATCACTGCATATAAAAATTAATTACAATCAATACAAAAGCCATAAGTGGATTCGTCCAACTAATGTGCATGTTAAATGCGAAATTAACTGTAGGATCAGAAAGAGAAGAAAGTTATTAGCTTGGGGGGGATATCAGTCAGAACCGTGTATCAGCCTAGTTGTCAAACAGGTCACTACTGAATTTCACACACAATTTAACTAGAAAAATTTCTTGACATAGTTGACCGCTTTGAACCGTTCGAACAATGAGCAGAATGATCAATGTTTTATAGACAGGCTTACACGTCGCGCATAAAGTAGAAGTTTCAAGGTAACAGTGATATGTAAAGTGTGATTTTTGTGTGCCTATTGGTTGTACTCATGTTGACTGAAACAGATTCGTGTCCATAGTGATCTGTGTTTGGTGGTGATCCATTGGGAAGCCGTTATCAAATCATGAGTATCAATGATTTTCATCTCATGATTCCATCGTGGTGACTGCGAGAGGTCTCCAAATAATCAACTCGCTATTATTTGATCACGAGCCGGAGTTAACATAATTGCAGGTGGTCATCTGTGTCAATTACTTGATTTAATGTTTAACGTCATACATCGCTTGAAACCTGTTTGTAAACAGAATATGAAAATTTTGTCATAGGAATCAATTTCAAAGCTAGCATCTTCGTCTGACGATTTCACGGTGACAGTTGCGGCTTGTCGTTTACATTAACATTGTGCATTGAGTTAACACTAACAGTCACGAGTTTAAATTTATGTAACTTTCAGAGGCTCTGCTTCCTTTGTGAATAATTTCATTATATCAACACAAAGCTCTTCCTGAGCACAATATCAAAAACTTTGTCAAAACATTGAATTTCTAAGTTTTGTTTACTGACCTCACTATGATGACACGAAGACATTATAAATCAACGTGCAGTCACTGAGTTGTAAGTTGAATCTATGCAATCGATTGAGGGATAAAACAATGAGATGTTTGATTTTACCGTCATTTATCAGTCATTAGATTGTCGAACTTGTGAACTTAGAAAAATCCATGCTATTTTACGATTTCTTCATAATGGCTGCGTCAGGTCACTAAGTCGATGGACAGTCATTTAGCCAAGAATTGGAACCTCTGCCACTTGCACACATTTTTTTTCAAACCCCTTTTTGACCTATTTAAACACATTGCTTGTCGAGGGTAGTTATCTATGAAACATCGCCCGGTCAAAAATTCTTATACCATAGAATTTTGATTTAATTATTCAATTTTTTGCAATCTCGCGAAATCACGAAGCCAATAGGACACCACAACTGCGGTTTCACCGCTGCTAACAGTAAGCGTATGTTACGCTCTTTACGGTCACGGTGAGTGCGAGTCACAGTGGCATTAAGGGTGGCGATGCCATTGTCGAAACGCGATCCGAAAAACATTTTCGTCGGAGGACTTTTGCCATGTACTCAACAGGAAGAGTACCTCCTGAAAACTACTACACTTTAATTCCTACTACTTTTTGCATTTTTAATCTTTGTTTGTGTTGTGTGAAATACTTGCCGCCTAACGTTTGATGAACTATTCGCCCACCTTAGTGCCTCATCTGCGAAGCATTTACAGAAAACAGCGAAACGCTCTTTGGTGAATTCTGGCATCTTGAATCGACACCGCCGATTTCGAGGGACGTCTGCCGGCAGGCAGAAAACTTCGAAAACTGTGAAACCGGAAAACAGGACCTTTCCCTCTCTACTCTCGGCAAACATCCGTTCAGGGCTGAACTAACTGACAGACTTCGCAATGGTTTGGCGAGAACGGAGGAACCTTATCATGTGCCCCTTGTTCTGTTCTTGTCCAATAGTCTAAAGTTTACACAACAGTACAAGACAACAGTTTCGAAAACTATGTTTTGTACAGAGCACATGCAATGCTCCAGGTCTAAGATTCGAGGGAGTGGTGTAGCGTAGCTACTTGGATTAAGCAAAGGTGGTGCACCAGCTGTTCGATTCTGCTGCAATATTTAACTGAGGTTCATCTGAGGGTCATACTATGTCCTATTTTGCTTTGCGCCGTATCGTTCTTGCCGGGTTGCTAGAAACATGACTCCGGCAAACGTTTACATCGCTCCTCTTTTCATTCCCTCGCAATTACACACTCTCTCTCACGGGTGCTTCTAGGAATTGCGTATCCACACGGTAGTAGTTCGGTTCATAGCGCCGGTGATTTCAGTTTAAACGATACAGCCAGTCTTACTTGTACAACAACATTCTGGCATGTCATTAACAACCTCCCCTGTATAAAAATTTCATGAGCCTGCATAATAATGAGTAACGGACGCGCTTATGCTGCTAGCAACAAGCGTTGCTCACACAAACAAACTTTACTTTACTATTAAAGGTTCATGATTCAGCCATTTTTCATTACAACCTGCTTGAAAATCGGCACTTTCAACCTCTGTCAACGAGAGGGCTTCTTCGAGCCGAGCCGAACACAGGTGAAAGTTGTAGACACGTCTGAGTCAGGGGGACCTTCGGAAGAGTTCATATATGTGGTCTGCTTTTTCTTTCTAACGTGACTCCGGAAATTGCGTTGTTTCTGTGAAGCTTTTTATTAATTGTCGCGTTGTCACCGAATTCGTCTGCCTTCGGACTTTTGTGTTTGAGGAGCATTCTTGTTTCCTGCGGGGGTAGCACCCGTCTACGCTTCTTGGGGAGCTTGGCTCTCGCCTTTGCGTGCGAATAAAACATTTCGAAGTTGCTAACGATGACCGGCATCGGCAGTGCCAAGGTCAGCACCCCGGTCAGCGCGCACATGCAGCCGATGATCATGCCGACGCTGGTCTTCGGCACGATGTCGCCGTACCCGATGGTGCACATAGTGACGATGGCCCACCACAGGCCAAGTGGTATGCTGCTGAACTCATTGTCCGGGTTGAACTCGATTCGTTCGGCGTAGAATATCAGTGCTCCGAACAGCACGATGCCGAGCACGACGACGAACACCAGCAGTATCAATTCGTGGGCACTGGCCTTGAACGTCTCTATCAGAATCTTGAGACCGGTCGAGTGTCTGGCCAGACGAAACAGGCGCATTATGCGCACGATGCCGAGGAACTGCACCACGTCGTAGCTCTCGCCGTGAGTGCTGATGTACCGTACGGCTAACTCCACGTAAAACGATATAGTGGCCACGAGGTCGATCGCGTTCAGCGGCTCCCTGAAGAACTTCAGCTTGCTGGGACAAAACGTAAACCGAACGATGATCTCAAAGGCGAACCAAACGTTGCAGAACAGGTCGATGAACAGCAGCACATCGTCCGACGATACCCTCAGCTGGTCGATGCCGATTATCCGATTGTTGGGATGAACGTCGGTGCCGTTCCACATCACCAAAGAATTAGTTTTGTTCACTAGATGCGGGATTAGGAATGAAGGCTGTGCCTTTAGGCAAAATACTAGCGTTGATAAGCAGACGAAAAATATGGCCACCGAAGAAATACCCTGAACAGCAAGTAATTAGTAAACAAACAATCACAGATGTAGAGAAATATGAAAAACGAAATAACACCTGACGACCAAATTGTAATATCTTACAGTAAGATTAACCGCACACAGTTTCATAGTGTCACAGCTATGAATCAGATATATCGGTGTACATTTAAAAAATGAACGTCGTAAAAAAGATATATTGCTGTTCATTTCAGGACTACCTCGAATGAAAGACGTTTAAATCTGCTGGTATCTTGCAACACTTCTACCATCTTACACACAGAGATGTTACAAGTTGTTGAAGAGCAGACATTCGAAGTGGACATTTGACGATGAGACATTTGCACTTAGCTCAAAGTAGACTGATGGAAACTTTCCCGTAGAAATGCGATTAAGGCAGTCGAAAGATTCGTAGACAAGATGCTGCTTGAGGTCTGTCCGTTTGCAAGTCTCTGTATGCTTTCATTTGTGCTGCACATTCCCAACGACAAATCCACTGTTTCTGGTCTCAAGCCCGAATGAAAAAGGAGGAGGGTTGGGGACCGCCACGAGGTCCCCCGTAAAACTTTGCCGCCAGCCCTGCGTGGCATCATTGCCGATATCGACGTTATATCGGCTTGGTCATCGCTCAGGTTACCAAAGGCCACGTAAGCTTTTTGAGAACTGAGGCAGACTGCGAAAATTTGGAGGTCATAAACTGCTTCACACCTTCTAGCAACTGAGGGCATAGGAGCACGGCGGCAACTGTCGAAAATGGACAAGCAGACAACAGTGATGCCAGTCATCAAAGGCGCCGCTGAATGAAGGAGGTAGACAGTACGATGCCACAGAAGCGATCAGGACGGTTCGAGCACTGTCGTCAACTGGAACACATCCCTTCATTCAGAGTGAAAGATCAGAAATTAGTTGATTAGGCCGTAAGACACTGCTTCGGTATAGTTGAACCATCAACATCGAAACTTCATGGCTTTAAAGTTGCGAACCTCCGCGAGTGGAAGCCATTCCACTGAGATCTCGAATCCACTGGAAATGTACGTCGATAATTTCTGAATATGAGACTTGCTTTAACTCAACAAAAGTTAGTAAAACTTCAGAATGAGTGAAAATATCAACCAATCTGTTTATTGTGCCAAACAGATTTATGCGTCGGTGGGCGATGACGCAGAATCTTCACTGAACTTGACTTACGGAATCGGAAATCTGAAGCAGACCCTAAAACATTAGATTCGTAGGCCAACAGGGGAGTGGACCAATCGGCTTCTACTATGTTTTTATCGAACTTATAGTGCGGCATTGATCTTTTTGCCCTGCCAATGGGCAAAAAGCGTGATACGATAGCACCTATGTGGCACACATAGAGTGTAGTCTCCTGCTTCCTTCCCACAGAGTTGTACTTATTTATTCACCTCGGAGGAAAGAAAGACCACTGACCCGACTGGGCCTAGAAATTTTGGATCTATCGGTTCTCATTATGAAGTGCTACACACTGAGCAACCCTATTCCAAACAAACGTGGGTAAATTAATTGCTCAAAGTAATTCTTTATTGTCACAAAGTTTGATTCTCCCGGTCGAAGATTGAAGTGCACTGTGCCACTACACCACATAACCAGGAAGTGGCTTTGGATACTGCAAAGCGGAAAATTCATTATTGGAAAACACCTGATTGTTGTAAGGTAATTAAGTTTCATCTCTGAGGTAGATTTTTGCTTAGCCTTAGGTAATAAAGTAATAATTCACCAGATGGCTGTGGAAAAGAACGCTCATTGGAGATTTTTACAGAGACCCTTATAAAGCTAATTAGAAGGCAAGCCATTTGAGCTGATATCCTGTTTACGACATTCGGTCCTATACCACAGTACAGTTCGTGCGATGCTGCTACCAAATTTGTCAGACCCTGAACAACAAATTACTTGATTTTCTAACCACTGCCGTTTTTCAGAGATTAAATCTATTTTGCCTAACTTCGACTGATGTTATGTGAGGCTATTTGCATAGAGATTGTTCCTCTTCAGCCATGTTAGTTGAAACATAAGAGTTTCTGAATATTTGCATGAATACATGGATCTGAGCGATAAATATAACTGATTGCTTTTTTCATACAGACTGATTTTCTAGATTACGAGATCGATCAGAATGCGCTAGAATGAATTAATCGATTAATCGTTTGGCCGACGATCGAATACTCAATATTGTCTTTGGTTTCAACTGTGTAAAAATAAGCTATGGATCTCGTGCTTCAGAAAATATATGTTTAATTGAGTAAAGCATTGGTCGATCATTTCCAGCTCTCCCAGGTGCATACCAATCCACTGTCCTCAGCTTGTTGACTCAAATAATGCAAATAAAATGCATGATCATTCACAGAACGGTACAGTGTTAATTTTACACTTGAGCGCAGTGACACAGAGGAATTCAAATCCCCTTTTCTCTTGGCCGCCAATTCCTTTGAGAAAGGGATTCACTTCGAGTAGCTTTTAGTGCAACAAGCCAAGAAACGGTAAGCAAGTCACTGACTTGTGAATAACAGGGATTGCATGACACTGACTGCATCAGCATAGGCGATATGTACGGTGATGCTGTGCAACAACGCCCGTGCCTGCTGTGACTGCTCCTCGCATCGACCCACCTAATAGCTGGCCTCTCCGAGTGATAATCAGTGAAAATGGAACCGTCCTGTTGCAGCTTTTGTCTTCATTTTCGATAAACTGTTGCAAATGCCTGAAAGCTGTTCTCGTAGCTTGACTTGACATAAATCCCAGCCAGTTCGTTCAGTTGAGTTGAGGACTCATAGAGAAAACGTCTGAGGTAACTATTTTTAAGCTTCGATTTCGCTTATTATTCTGTGTATACACATTCCTCTAACTGGCTGCTAACTGCGTATAGTTTTCTCATAAGTTTGTCGATGCCGCTTGAAAAATTTATCCTCTAACCAAGCGTAGACTCTAAAACTATTCCCACCGTATTTTATTAACTCGATAGACCACGTAAACAACCGTTTTGTCGTTCTCTGCAATCCGTCTGTCATTCTCTCTTACGTTTGACCAATCTTACGTTACTGCAATCATCATCTAGAGCAGTTGTGCCAAATGGCAGGATGATAAAATTGGTGACGTCTATTTAACTTTGGATTTGATGATGACGTCACGATCTACGGTGAGGTAATGCCATTGGCGGAGTATGGTGACACAGTGAAGAAGAGGTCGGTTTGGAAAATCGGAGGTGCTAAGTGCTAATTCGCTCAAGGGACACTCTGTGTCTTAACCGTGAATTTTCTTGAGCTAAGAATTAGCCTCACGTCACTTCGATGCTACCAGCCGAGAAACGGGAGGTAAGTTCCTGACTTGCGAGAAACAGGCAGAGCATGGTATTCTGATCTGGTCAGAATCGCTATGCTGCCCAACGCGAGTGCACCTGATGGCTATACTTCTATTTGACCCAACTGGCAGTTGTCTATCTAGTGTAATATTCAGCACAAGACATAATCCTGATCATTATTCTTTGCTGTCAGCGTGAAATAAAAGCAAAATTTAGGCCTGCTGATGACGGTAGCAAAAGTTTAAAATTGAGTTTAAACTAAAATTTATTTGGTTATTAGGATGGCACAATGAATAGAAGAATTCTTCATGCACTTTTTACTTTTGTATGATTTACGCCATGTGCTGATTTGTGTTTTGTCATGGACACGCTGAGCTTTATTTTACAAATGTCGGAATATTCAGATTTTATTTAGGAAATAGCTCGTTTCTGAAATGCGTCAAAATCAATATTCCTCAAAACAACTGTCAATTCTTTTCATGCACCTTTTGTGTTAGAGCAGCAGGAAAGAATGCCTTTCGAAAGGAAACCAGTGTACGTAACAATCTAGGTTTAGTAACTTTGAAAACGCTTCATTCAAAGCGTAAGGAATTTCATTGGAAATTCAATTCACCAGTCATTCATTGAAGTTCGATGACGATAAATGACTGATGATTTCTCCGAGATCGTTGTCATTATATGAGGTATGTGATACAACGTGATTAAGGGCGCCACACCGATATTATCATGAAGAGGATGAACTTTATACAGTAAAACAAGGTCCCTTTTATTTTCTCGACTTATGCAGGCATTAAAATAGATCAACATAAATTTCGACTCACTACCGTAGTGTACGAATCAGATGGTGCTGAAAAGAATATTTGCAGGTTTGTGCAGTAACCGCAGTGCGCATAACTACTCCAAGACCAGATTTCAAGAGCATTAGCTCTGGACATCATCCGTGATTGGCACGAGGCTACTCCAGCGAATATCAAGATCCCGTGAAATCTTGTCGTAGAGACGTGATCCGGCTTATCATGCCATCTTAAGAGACATATTTCGTATCATACTGTTAGCAAGAGCCATCTTGCGCTCGTTATCAATCATATTTCAGGGATTGGAACTCCATTTCTACTACCT